TGACTGCTTTTCCAGGCCATAAGCAGGAAAATGGATAGGAAGCAGGGCCACCAGAATTAGAGCCGGTGCCCATATGGGCTCCCGGCGTGTGCAAGTCGAGGACATTAGCCACTAGGCCACCATGCTTGGCTGCAGATTTGAACATTTTTGATATTCAATTTTCTTTTGCATCATTTCAAATATTTTTGTTCAAAATCCTGTTTAATGAGGGAATCTCTTTTACTACCATAAAACAATAACAAAACCCATGGCAACTGAAAAAAAAACACTATTATGTTCACTTGCAATACATTGAATAGTCTTAGAGCAGTTGGTTCAAAGCCCTGTGCTGTATGCTTTACATGCGTTATGCTAACATGCCGAAGAAACGACTCTGTGAGATAGCCATTATCATCACCACTGGACAGAAGAAACTGGAGTTTGAAAAAGTTGAATCAAAACCTCCAAATCCTTTAGGTGGTAAAGTACTACACAATTAGAAAACTATGAGGTATGTCCCCACAAAGGCCTAATTCTGTATGTCCCCACAAAGGCCTAATTCTACAGGTCAGGTGTTAGATCCCATCTTATCAGCTGTTTGTAAATGGGTATTCAAATTTTTCTCAGTAATTCGATCATGAAATTGATTACTTTCTCAGGTACCTTATGTAATTTCTTGGCAACTCTCTTGGCAGATGCATAGATGGGGACATTTAAACTGGGTTCTAGTTTACCTTCCTGGGCACAAGAATTAGCCCGTGATTTTAACTTGTGATGTAGCATATGCAGTGAGCACTGCTCAACTACAAAAGTTTGGATGTGAAATAAAAGCTTGTCAAATTGGTCACTGGTGCATGACCTCTGCTCTCCAGGAAACCCTGGCTGGCTTGAAGTAGAAACAATTGTGCCAGTGTAGGGACTTACTGAGCATCTAGAAGAGTCTCCTTATAAACATTTTTCTTTTTAACTCATTTGGCTTTATTATTATTGGCTAGGGTCTGCTTGAGCTCTCTGGGAGAAAGGATGTGCAAATGAAGATTTACACATATGTCCTACTGGGTGGACCCCAAGAGGAAAGGTTTAAATTGGATTTGCTAGTGTTTTTCCAGTACACTTGACTTTTGTATTGTAACAATTTTTCACCAAGTAGGGGAAAGTATGCAATATACACAGCATGATGTTTGGCATACAGTAAATAGATGACCTTGACATGTGCTAAACTTCAGTAACTAGCTTTGAAAGAATGCTGAATGAGGCATTATAATGCAGTTTATAATATCAAGTTTAACATGGAAACTAGCAATGCAAGAGTTTCCCTCTAGCGATGGCGTTGTGGCATAGTAGTTCATGTCCACGTGGCTGCACTTCTAATCCAGCTCTTTGCTACTGGACTGGGAAATGTGGTTTCAGATGGCTTGTGTATTTGGGCCCCTGCCGTCCTTATGGGAGATCTGTACCGAGTTCCTGGCTCAGGCTTTGGCCTAGCTCAGTCCTGGCAGTTGAGGAAACCAGGGGAGTGAATGTGTGGATGGAAGACTTCTAACTCTCCCTCTGTTTCTGTAACTCGGACTTTCAAATAAACAAATCCCTAAAAAGGAAAGAAATCTATCTGGCAGGCTTATTACTGCTTATAGACTATATGGAAACATTGACTTAATCCGTAACTCTGCACACTCTTCTGAAAATCTTTCCATCTCTTAATGGGAATACAAAGAAGAAATACAAATAAAATCAGGACTCTGTGTTCAGGGCAGTTCAGTGTTTGCTGGAAAGACTGGGCGAGCAGTGTGACAGGGATATCCCTTACAGTATGTACAGGGACTTTGAGTCATCAAGTAGCAGATTGGCAACCATAGCTTGTATTTATGAAGATGCTCCTTGATACTAGGCATCTAATGTGAATTAATTCATTTGTTCCTCATACAGAATAGGGACCTAAGGTTAGATCAGTTAAGAACCCAACCACAGGCTGGTAAGTAACCAGAGCACACAGATTTGAGCCAGTCTGGAACTAAGCTGCTAAGGGCCCAGCACGGTAACCTAGTGGCTAAAGTTCCTGCCTTGCATGCCTAGGATTCCATATGGGCTCTGGTTCGTCCCCCGGCTGCTCCACTTCCCATCTAGCTCTCTGCTTGTGGCCTGGGAAAGCAGTACAGGATGACCCAAAGCCCTGGGATCCTGCACCTGTGTGGGAGACCTGGATGAAGTTCCTGGCTCCTGGCTTCGGGTTATCTCAGCTCTGGCCATTGCGGCTGCTTGGAGAGTGAAGCAGTGGATGGAAGATCTTTCTGTGTGTCTCTCCTCTCTGTACAAGTGAATTTTCAATAAAATTTCCAATAAGAAATAAATCTTTAAAAAAAAGAAAAGAAAAGAAACCCCCTGCATTTTAAGCACACCTCTCTCTCTCTACCTTTGGGAAATTATGTATGATATAACATACTGTAGAAACATTTGCTTGGTGCCTGCTGGGATCTTCCAGGTAGAGTAGAGGACAATGGGGGACAAAGCACTATTCTTAATTTCTAGGTGTTGAGGGCTTGAGTTACAGATAAATACATAAACATGAGGTTCCATTACAACCTGATAAAAAGAGGGAATCATCAGTGGTTTGGAATTTGTCAGTGGAAGGATCCAATTTCCAGATACAAACTGTGTGAATTAAGCCATGTTAATTACCCCTTCTGTTTCATCATCTTGTCTGGTACAATGAAGATAATGTAGACATTTGCCTCAGAATAGTACAATGGGGGCAAAATAAAGGCCTATACTAAGTGGAAAAATGATTGACATGATATCACATAGTAGGTTCTTAATTTATGATGCCTACTCTAGTATAATTATTTAGAATGCCAAAATATTGAAGAAGAAGAATAAAAAATACTTTCAAAGCAGCAAAAGGCCAGAATCACAAAGGTCTCTAATGTCTTTTAAGGTGCTGAGGAATGGGAAAAGGACAAAAAGCAAAATGAGCTTTAACCCAGTTACACAGAGTGTTGTTGGGTGAACGGATCGAGAGAGATGAGGCTGCATGCCACGAGATCAGTCAGTAACATGCATGCATAGATGTCTTTAACCACGCTGGTGAATGTCAACGGGATTCTTGACCTTTCTACCAAGGAAACTCAAGGAACAGGAGACATAGGAAATTTAGCTCTTATACCTCTGTCCAGGAAGTCTCAAGTGGGGACTTGCAGGTCAGAAACACATTATTTTCTTTCTTGGAGAAGGTGGCAACTGTGACCTGAACCAGGGACTTGAACATTCATTCATCTCAATAACTCAAGAGCTAGACACACAGAGAACTGTGCTGGCAACAGGCAACAGGTACTTTGATTTGAGCAAAAGCTCCAAGTGATAGAGACAGGAACTCTTCAGAACAGAAATGCCTAACCTGCATGATGTTGTTATTATTGTTGTTTACTATTATTATTATAATTATATCCTCTAGCAGAGACTCAATCTTATCATGTATCGGCTTGTATGTGGGCAGACACCAGAGGGAAAAGACACCTGATCTAGTCCAGCAGTTATGAAAGGAGACAAAGTTTTCATAAACTACAGCAACAACAACAAAGAAAAGTTACATGCCTCTAAGTAGCTTGAAGGTTTGAAAGAGAAGAGTGCAATGGTCAAGGATTCTCATGCTATTATTCACTTCCCATAAAATGACCATTCTTTCCCAGATCCCCTGAATTTTCCCTGGAATATGTTATCCAGAAGGATCATAGGTCAGTTTCTGTTGGATTGTGATATATGTTGGCCCAGGCTCATCTCTCTCTCTCTGTTTATGTGGTGTGTGTGTGTGTGTGCGCGTGTGGCTTTCCTATTTTTTTTTTTTTGCTAGATATTCTCTTCTGTTGCAAATGATTGCTCTTCCACCAACCACTTAATTTGCTTATATGGGCTGTAAACATAGACCACAAGTCTCCTAAGATGCACAAAAGCCCACCTAGATACAAATCCTGATTGTTACCACCTCTTGAATGGGTAGCCTTTGCGAAAGTCCTTTGCGAATTTTTTTACCTTCAGTGTGTTCACATGCAAACTGGGGATAAAAAGGCCTGTGTTTCTGATTAGGGCAGAGAGATGGCTTTGGGTAACGGAGACAGAGCACAGCTCCTTTGGAGGAGCTTTCTAAATGCTTGCCCACTACCTACTGATCCAGTACCCTCATGGCCTTGAAACTCTCTCACTTTGCAGATGTTCATGTCGCCTCCTAGTGTGCAAAGCTCATCAAGGAGATTAATTTCTTTGAGTGCTTTCCTTTGCTATCCATCTACCACACCCTCTCATGAGTGACAGAGTTGCAACTCATTCCCGACCTTGTACCTTCTTGGAAGACAGATTACCCCCATTTCCCATCCCCTCAAATCCCTTCTTTCTGTTAAGGTCCAACTAAAATCCCCTTTCTTCTGGGAAGCTGTCTGTTACAATGTTTGCCATTCTATTAAACTTCAGTAGGAGGCCTAGCCTTGAGACCCCCTTAGATATTTCCCAAACACATCCAGGATACCAGGTTATATACCGAAAACCGATTTGTGTGGTTTCTGCTTGACTCTGAGTGGTAAGACTAAAACCATTGGTTATTAAGTTATAGTAGAAGAGCCAGATAAAGACTCAACATAAACTAACAATAAACAGATCTCACCAAAGTTGGATGCACTTCTCTGGAAGGTAGTGGATTTTCCAATAATTCTGTCTTGATTATCAGTAGCCCTAAATGCTGGTGCAAAGACTGGTGCAAGAAAAGCATCCAGGGTGGGACTAAGCTTGCAGATGGAAACAAAATAACCGAGCTTTGGTATGAAGATGTAGAAGCGAGTTTGTGCTCATTTTTCAGCAAGCCCATCACCAAAATCTTCTAAAGAGAGTGCTTTGAAAAGAATGTGTGTAGATCCTAAATTTAAGGGACTGGATGAAACTTTTCTGAATTAGGAACATAAATATATATATATATATATATAAATGTGTTTTAAAACTCTCTGATCTGATCCCGAAGCATGTTTGAGAAGCACTGGTATATATTCTGGTTTCTTTTCAGATCATATAAATCTTTGGCCTTTTACTGAAGTTATCCATGGAGAGAAGCCCTGATGAAATCCTTCCGGCTTGTTAAACAGGAAAGAAGTTTTTTTTTTCAGTTCTTTTGTGTGTTTAGTCTTCCTCTGCTCTGGGAGGAGTATAAGCCTGTGTTGAAATATTGCAGAATTGGAAGATATGTTTGTTATTACCCTGGAGTAATCAGTAAAGGCAACATTCTTCCCTTCTTTGCATCTCCATTTAAGCCTGTATTGGCATCCGATCAGTTTCCCTGGCACCGTGACATGTGTGGTTATGAAAGCCAGCATGCAGCAAATAATCACCGTTTCCAACACTGAATGTGAATCACTCAACCTAAGTTGCTTTGCTAAGTCCCATTGCCTTCCTCTGAGAATCATTCTTATTATCATTATTTTACACATGAAGTTACAGCGAAGAGTTTGATTAATTGGCCTAAGCTAATTAATAGTGAAGTCAGAGCTTAAATATTTACATTTATTTCACAAACTCAGAGATGTTTTACTATGCTTTGGAATTTAATTTTTAAATAATAATAAAAAAGATTTACTTGATTTTATTGTGAAAGCACTTTTACAGAGAGGAGAGACAGAGAGACGTTCTTCTGCTGGTTATAGCACAAACGGCTCAATGGCCAGAGCTGAGCCTTTGTGAAGCTCAGAACCAGGAGCAGGAGTGAAGTGATTCTTCTGCGTCTCCCACAGGGTGCAGGGGCCCAAGGACTTGGGCAATCCTCTGGTGCTTTCCTTGTCCATAAGTAGGGAGCTGGACGGGAAGTGGGACCACTGGGAAATGAACCTACGCTTGCAAAGGGAAGCTTAGTCAATTGAGCCCTTGTGTTGGGTCTTATACTTTCAGATTTCTAGGATGAAGGAGTTTCAGATTGAGGGAGAAAAAGAATGTTAGTATGCTCTTAGAAATGAATATATGAATCACAATGAATCTGTTAAAAGCCAATTTAACATTAAAATAAAGTGGAAAATATATATATTTTAAGATTCATTTTAAATTAAGTTGTTTTTTTTGTTACAGATTCAATGTGTTTGTAAGCGTACTTCTAAGAATGTGCTGCCTTTCCCTTCGTTTTCTCTTCCCTCCCTCCTTCCCTTAATTTTTGCTGTCTCACTCTCTCCCTTACTTTCTTTTTTAGCATTTGAAATAACATTTTAAATTTATATTATACAAAAAAAGAAGATGCTTCACCAAATAAGAAGCTTAGCAAATAGAAAGCAATAAACTACTAGCTTAGTAGAATATTGACAATGGGCGGAAATAATAGCTGGATGCGAAGTGACCATTTCACGCACAGACCGTAAATTTTAAATTGCAGATTTTTAAAGCTATAGCAGCATGGCATTCTGAACAATCGGTTGGATAAAGGTGTAAAACAATACTTCACAGAGAAATATTTGCTGCAGTACTGATACACACAACCACTTCTTCCTTCCTTTCCCTGTTTTTGCTTTTTGTGTTTCCTTTTTCTTAAAATTTTTGCTCCGACACATAAGGGAGAACATTTACATTTCACTTTCTGTGTCTGCCTTATTTCATTCAGCATGATGGTTCTCCAGTTGCATCAATTTTAACATAACATTTTAGAGTTCAATTTTATAGACGAACAATAATCTGTTGTGTATACATACTCCAATTTCTCTATATGCCTGTGTGTGTGTGTGAGCCTGCACATATACCATGTTTTATTTATATCTGATGATGGACATCACGACTGATGACCAATTTTTGCTATTTTGAATAGTGATACGCTGAACATGGTGACGCAGGTATCTTTTTCTTATATTGTGTCCAAGTTTTTGAGATATATACCCAGAACTGGGAATGCTGGATCATGCGACAAGTCAATTCTAGTATTTTTAAGATTTTTTTTTTTTTTTTTTACTTTCTAATGCAGTGCCTGTGCTGATATATATTCCCACCATCAGTGGATAAATGTTCTGGTTTCTCCACATCTTTGCTAGCAAACCCAAATGATGCCTTCTATCTTTTGGGCACTCCCACAGTGGCGAAATGAGGTGATGGTTTGATTTGCATTTCGCTGATGTACAATTTTGTTGACCGATTTTTCCACCTGTTTATTGAAGTTCTATTGGGAACCGTCTATTGGTTGTTTTATTGCTGTTGATTTTTTAAAATGTTGCTGACATACGCTGGTTGCATTCCTTTCTTGGATAGGTAGTTCGCAAATATGTTTTCGCTTTTCTTTGGGTGTGGCTTCACTCTATTGATTGCTTCTTTGATATGCAGAAGCTTCTCCAATTCATATAACCCATTTTGTTTGTTTTACTTTTGTTACTTTTATTTTGCGGGTCTTGTCTGAGAAGTCATTCCCTACACCAATGTCTTGCATTATTCCCTCCCTGTTTTTCCCCCAGCAATTCAATAATCTCAGGTTTTATGGATAGGTCTTTGATACAATTTGAGTTAACTTTTGCATATAGTTAGAGTATGGATCTGATTTTTTTTCTACGTATAAACAACTAGTATTGCCAGCATTATTTTTTGAAGAGATTATAATTCTCCACTACATGGTTAGAGCACTTTTGAAAAAAATCGGTTGGCTCCTTACATGTGAATTACTTACACATGAATTAATTTTTGGGCTCTCTGTTCTGTTGCTTTGGTGCTTGTAGCTATTTATTTTTATATCAGTGCAACACTTTGCTTATGACTATAGCTTTGCAGAATATTTTCAATTCATGCATTGTGACACCTCCAGCTGATATTTTTCCCTCTCTGGATCAAGCTTGTCTTGTCTGTTCTGGGTTTTTATGCTTCAAAAGTTTATTATACAGTCTTAATATTTATTGACCAACACATTATTATTTTCCCCAAGAGAGTTAAATATTTCCAATTAAAAATTCTTATTATTCTTTCAATAAATCATCATATTTTTAAGTATATGTGTGTGTGTGTATTTGGATGTTTTGGGCAAAACTCATTTTTGTAAAAACAAGCCTTTTTTCCCTTGTGAGAGTGTAACTGGCACCACATACCTTCCCATGGGTCACTAAATGGTGGACTAGTGAGTATTCAGCAACCATTTCTCTCACAGTGAGACTCCAGAGCTAGAAAGTTTTGCGAATATTTGCCAGTGTTAATGTTGCAAGTATTTTTACCATGGCGGATTCAATATAATGTAACTAAATGTAGAACTGGAAAAAAAAATATGTAACAATTGGCATTCACTAGCCAAATTGGAAATTGCAGCATCTTTTGCGCTTTCCCTGAAAATCCGTATTGGCTCATGCTTAAATGAAATATTTTTTTCCAGGTTGAATTTATGGCTTACTTGTACTTACAAAAGTCAACATTTTTAGAAGGATGTCTTTGCTCCTAACACTGTGGACATTGTGTCATAGAGTTTACCATCACCATGAGTTCTATTTTAATAGTAAACAGCATGCTAAACAGAATTTCCAAACTCAGTACTCTTCTTACGTGGTGGGTGTAGAGCCTACCAACCGTGATGGAGTCAGGCTGAAATACGCATAAAGGAATTATTTTGGATACAGGTACACCGTAATCTGTCTCGAAGCTCCGTCACTGTTGGAATAGGGACATTGCCTTAGTCATGTCCTTTCATATCTCCTGGATGTGTAATACTTGTCCATACACAGTTATCACAGAATGGTTAGCAAAGTTAAATAATACAGCATACAGTTAAACAATACATCAAAATAAAAAAGTATTAATTATCAACCCTGACTCTCTTTGAAAATCATTTAAATTTTCTCGATCCACACTGACATCTTTCTAAAGCTCAGATTATCTGCATGTGTCCTCACAGGGCCCGCATTTTTTGTTTACTGTTTATATTATATGCTTCTTGCTCTGACTTACCATTTCTGTGTATTTGTGTGATTCTGTTTTTATCCTTGAAGGCTTTTCTCTGTATTGCTATTTTGTTTTTTTCTCTCAAACTTCAACTTTCTCAGTTACCCATTTCTCCTTCTGGGACATGCATTCCATTGGCAAGTGGGACACTTAGTCTCAACTCTGCTTTTTCCTCCATTAATTTCTCACAATATCCTTCCCCACTCTTCCTCTGTGGATTTCAGACAAAGCTGTTTTTACTGATGTCTGTTCTGTGTTGCTCTCTACACAAGAGCAGCTTGAGCTGTCCTCTTTGTTGCATGCACCTTGTATGTTCCTAGCTCCTGCCTAGCCACGCCCTGAACCTCCCAAGGGCTTAGTTCAACAACCTCCATTGAAATCCACTGCCTTTATTTTTCCATTTCTCCCCAAAGGACCAAAATATCTCCCATTATCCCATTATTTTTCCATTCCTTTCACTGTTCACTGAAACCCCTCTAGCCAAATGCTTTTTCCCTTTCATAATGCAAAAGGCTCAGAGGCAATTTGTATTGATATATCTATTCACACCAGAAGGGTAACATTTCTTTCTTTTTTTGTTTTTTTTTTTTTTGAAGCTAAATATTTTAATTCTTGTCGCTAACTTATGGACTAAAAAGAATTCTGTCTCTACTCTGAAATGTCTTTACTGACTCCTTTCACAGAATGGCAGTGTGGGAGAGCGAAAAGAACAAACACCCAGACCTGGTTTTCCATTTAACTGTTAAAGCCACATGATTCTTTTCACATCCCAAGAAAAGGAGAGACAGGTTTAATATAGGGTCTGCATTTGGGGCTTGAGTCACAGGAAGATTTGTGTTCAGTGACTGGCTCATATTATTAGCTGCCTAATCTTGTGTCACTTGTTTCTTGTCTGCAGCAAGAGATTACTCCTCTGTGAAACAGATCTCAGTAGGGAAGGGTAGGCTTGATATGTGTAAATGCATAACCCACACACCAGCCTGTCACATTCAGTTCTAGGATTAGTATTGGAGTTTAACTTTCACAGAATGGACAAAGCGCCTCATGTGTCTGACTGTGCTCATCCCTGTTGTGTTTTCTACTCTCTTCCGAGGTCTCTCAGCATCTTATTTTTCTGTTCAGTAATTCATACTGTCTGTTCTTGGAGGACTTTGCCAGTGTCTTATGTATCAGGCCAATCACCTTAGTTCATAGCTGTCACTTAATTTAGAAGCACACTCCTGACAT